AAAATTAGGAAATTCTGGAAAACGGATCCAAAGCACAGCACTTGTTCACCATTTACTAAAGATTTCTTTGTCAAACATTACCAAATAACTCGGGAATAGATTCAGATGGTCAGACATTGCACAGTGTTACATGCAGGAAGAAGACTAGATGAATTTAGCAAAACAAAAATCCTCCTTAGTGGGACTTCTAGTGTCATAGTCTTGATAAAGTTTTTTTGATCTTAGGGTTCAATAAGCATGAGAAAAATACAGCAGGTCTGCAGGTCTTGGATGTTAACACAGACATAAAGGCAGCCCATGACTGTAGTCCTTGCAAGCTTATCCCAGCTGCCTTCCCCAAACCAACAGAGACTTGGTTGTTTCTTCTGTATCTTAAATATATGTAAATTTCTCAAAGGGTCAGTAAACACTGAGATTTCTGTAAGGTAGAATTTTCCTTAATGAGAAGCTAACCAGCAAATGAGGTTGGGAGGGGAAGGGAAAGGATGGTTTTGGTTTTGTGACTTTGTGACTGTTGGAGCCTCAGGCATCTGTGTACACATTCTCCCTCATTTACAGCTGAGTGTTTCAGCCTTTCTGCTTTTCTTTTCTCCTTTGTTATAAAAGTGTTGAGGTTCCAAATACATTATTTAAGATTAGTATGAAAAATTAATCTGAAGGAGGTTCTGGTGTTGCTATCCTGGAGTTTGCTATTACTTGGAAGATTTTTCTGCTGTTGTCATCTCCTCACTTCCCTTCTTCCCTCTTCTTATTATTATTTTTTTCTCTTCATCATCTTCCGTCAGCTGCAGTTACTGTAGGAAGGCTTCTGTGACAAAAAAGGTGCTTTAGGAAAGAGTTCTGAAAACGGCCAGAATAATTTTACAGTGGGGCAATCCCTGGGGGATTTCCTGTTTGCCTATTTGCACACAAACAGAACAGTAGAAATCATTGGGAATTCTTGTATTCCTATGGTGTAGCTCTCCCTTTATAGATGTGGCTGTGGGTACATTCTTCTTATCCATACTGCTAAAACATCCAGTGAGCGCCAGCACCAGAAGCTAACCTCTATTTGGAGCCAGTTAAATATATGTTGCTGATAAAAAGTGCCTTATTCTGGTAGTCAAGCAGAATAATTGGCTACTTAGTACTTGGCTCATCTGATTTTATACAGCATATAATCATGATATTATAGCTCCAGAAATTTAACTGGATGGAAACTCTGTAAGTGGTGGTAGCTATGCTTTAAAGTTGCAACATGCTGACCATTCAAGAACCCATATAGTTTGCCATGTAATAACATTAAACATTCACAGGAGAAGTGGATTTTCCAGAAGTAAAGGGTTTAAAGTGCCCAAATTACAACACGTCTTTCACCTCTGGATTCCTTTGTCTCAATCAGTTGACACAATGAAAGTAAAAATCAGACTACGATCACCTGCATGAGGAATGTCACCATTCTAAAATGAAAGGGTGAAAGATCATCATCTACCTGACCCACTACCTCCTGAAACACAGCTCTGCTTTGGAAGACTCTCAGTGAGATGACCCTGGTTCTGCAGAGGTTTGCTTTTACCGGTGTAAATCTGGAGCATCAGCACTAATCTCAGCAGAGACTCCAGACCCTGGAACCTGAAGTAAGGCTTTTCATCTTTCTCCACAATCATTAAAAGACTTCCTAAACATAATAGTTTTGTAGCTACAACCCAGCCCACTGAACTGAGTAAAGCCCAGTGATAAAATTAAAGCAGAGTACTGCAGAACAATCTGACAGGAATCGTTCTGAGACTTTTAGCTGGTGTATGCTGCACAGGTATTGCTCATTTCTGATCAGCCAGCACAAGTACCTCACCCAGGTATACCTAAGCAAGTCGCTTTCATTTAATTTGCCTTCTGAAGGACATGACAGCATCTGTACATTTTCAGATGTAATTGCTGTTATCCTTCAGAGTTTTTTGAAACAAACACAATCATCCTCCTGAATTACTGACTTTCCATGACAATTTTTGGAGGTTGCATTGTTCTAAACTAATATCTTTCAGACAGATCCTGAATAATGTAAGAGGATAAAGCCCACATGAAAAAATCAAGAATTCAGAAATGAAATTTAAGCTGTCAAACTTTAACTTAGTTGATCTTTATTCCCTTAATATTCTTCAAACAAAACCCATTTCATTCTAGTTCATAAAGAACATTACCTCAGAGGCCATAATATCACTAGAATTTTGTTCTAGGTCGATTTTTAAGTCAAAGCATTAGACATTTAAAAACTCCACATTCAAAGCAGCTATTATGAACTGGCTCTATGACCTGCTGCCAAATATGTGCTCCCTCCTTTTTTACTGTTTTAGTTTCTATATTTTTGTGTAGAAGAAAACCCAGTTTCAGATCCAGTCTTTAAACCAGATGTATGGGAGTAAAACAGCTTTCCTCTGCAGGATTTACAACAGAAAGACAAATTTCATGGAGGAGATCTTACCACTGCTCTGCTTTAGAAAAGTACTGAGCACATCCTTCAGCCATATATAAAGTGCAACAGCAGTTCCTTTGGAAATATTTCTGAGTGTCACTTGTTTGCATATAAAGAATCTCACCATTCTCAGCAATATGACAGCGCATGTTTCAAGTTCTTAAGTATTTCTTTGGGAAGCTTGAGAAGTATTACACTTGCTGTAGAAATACTGCAGAAAAGGCTAGAAGGCCAAAGTAATGGCCCTACACACACTGCTAAGGTGAGGCCTGAAGTACCGTGCTAAATTCTGGCTTCTCTTCTGGATGTCAGCACATGGTGCATTTGTATCTGTCAACAAACTTTGGGGTTTCATGGCTATTTAGATGGTGAGGATCAGAGAGGAAAGAACATTAAAAATACTTACCCTCCAATTTCTTAGTGACTCTTTAATGCTGAGCCAGAGCTGATGGCGAATGACTTCTAATTCCTTAACACTTGTTCTGAAAGTGTCCCAGTCACGCAGCTGACTTAGCAGTACTGCTGAGCTCAGCCCAGGGGAAATGCCAGACCTCTTCACGCTTCTGTCTTTCATTAAATGTAATCCCAGTTCCTAAGAGGTTTCACAGAATCCCAGACTGGTTTGGGTCGAAGGGATCTTAAAGCTCCTCCAGCTCCAAATCCCCTGCCATGGGCAGGGACACCTTCCACTAGAGCAGGTTGCTCCAAGCCCCTGTGTCCAACCTGGCCTTGAACACTGCCAGGGATGGGGCAGCCACAGTTTCTCTGGGCACCCTGTGCCAGCGCCTCAGCACCCTCACAGGGAAGAATTTTCTTCCTAATACCTAAGGAGGTGCTCTCCTGCTGACCTGCTATCCCTTCTCCAGGCCCTGGGCATCTATTTCTGGCATTGGCATCAAACTGGTAGGAGTGGGATGGACTGAGGATCCCCTTCTCTAGCAGCTTCAGTTTAAAGCCCTCTTCATCAGCTTGGCAAGCCCATGACTGAAGATGCTCTTCCCTTTTTCTGACAGGGGAATAGTGTTTGAAATACCACCACCTCAGAGTACTTGGTTCCCTCCCTCTACTTCTGTTGAGTCAACCACATCCAAACCACCCTCAGAGGGGTAGCTGTGCTGAAGAGAAAGATGTGCCAAGGTATCTCCATGAAAACAGTGACACTAGCATCTCTCATGCAAGGAAATACTGGTTTTACTTACTTTTATTATACTTGTGCAAGTGAGGTGTGACCCTGGAGAGCTAACAGTAGAAAGTGCTTCTACTGGCCTGTACCTGTAGGTCACAGATGAGACTGGAAGTACTCTAGTTGACATTTACCTGGGGGCCAGAGGCTATATGAGAGCTACGACTTCAGATTCAGTGTTCATACAACCCTCTTGAGATATGTTCACTGAGAGAATCCTGCTTCCTCCCTACCCCAGCTCTAATTTATGTGTGCATTTGCTTTGTTTGGAAAAGTGAAAGCCTTTTGAAGCATATTATTTAGCAGGCAGTTTTAGCAACATATAGCATACACAGTTAGAGTGCATACATCACAGCTGCACCAAGACAACAAAATGTAACAGAGGCTCCTCTGGAAATATTCCTGTCTCTGTATGTCCATAATCTGCATACTAAAGAGTCCCAAATCACTGACTAGCATGACAGACTGGGCACTAAGTGGTGCTCAAGTAGCCCTTAAGACAATACACAGAAGAAGCTCTAGAAACATTATGCTCTACTGTAAGAAAAAGCTCAGGAAGCAGGACACATCTCTTGTGGACTTTTAGTCTATTACCTAAACCATTAAAAATCAGATTTGATGCAATTTAGTTGAAGCTCAAATTAATGCAAGTTTAACTGACTAAATGGCAAACACAGCATCTTGTAAACCAATTCCCCTAATTGTCTGAAAAAGGATTTTTTTAATTATTAAGCTAATGCAGATTCATTTCTGGAGGAGATGGAGCCAAACCATCAGTATGGATAAAACCTTTAATGCCGGTCTTAAAATTTAGAGAATAAAGTTGCTGGTTTCTAAATGCAGTTGAACACCAAAGTCTAAGAAATTAGGACCACTGGATCAGAGCTCTCCTCTTTCTGCACAGGAATTCTAAGACAGGCAGAGCCCAGCATAGGTGAGTGCCACAGATATAGCTCTATTAACAGACATCCGTATCATTGAAGTGAGCATCTAGAAAAGGCATTAACTGCATTCTTAGCTTTGGAGTCTATACTGAGACTCTTCACAGAAGTATTTGATTCTTAGCAGGATAAACATTTGGACTGTGATTTCAAAAGGAAGGATAACCCATCCATCCCTTGCACATGACCGCCAGCAGAAGATCTATTTATTTTAGGAACAGTCAGGACCACCTACCAATGAACAGCTATGCTCTTCTGGTTGGTCAGGCCTTTTAGCTGTTCTACACTGCATATCTGTAAGGATTAACTTATACAAGGTGGAATTTCTCAGCCTGTATGGTCAGAAAGTAAAACCTTCACTTGACTTCCCCTTGCAGTGGAGGGAGATTGTGCATTTTCTGTTAGAGATTTGTACGTAGCGTCCTACCTGCAGTGGATTTGGTGAAGTAAGAGGCGATGGAAGGCCGTGCCCTGGTGACTGGCTGGGTTTCTGAGGGGAGCTGGAGGACTGTGGGGCCAGCGGCGGCTGGCTCTGGCTCTGGGACTGCGTTTGGTTCTGCTGCGGCGGTGCTGGCGGCTGTGGCTGCGGCTGCTGGGTCTGCTGGGGTGGCTGTGGAGTCTGTGCCTGCTGACCTTGCTGCTGCTGCTGGCTCTGCTGCTGCTGCTGTTGGTGCTGGAGCTGCTGAAGATGCTGAAGCTGTTGAAGCTGGGAGTTCAGGGATGAGGTAGCTGTGAATTGAAGAAAGGAAAGAAAGTTATGTAGGTTTCAGTAATACCTACTGTGTTAAAGCTGGATTAAATTCTGGTTCTGTTACACTGTGGGGCACGCTGCCCATTGAGGTCAGCTGGCTGCAGACTTCAAGCTGTTGCAGGAAACACATTCCTATCAGTAACAGCCTGATTCTGCCAGTGCAGTTCTGTGGGAAGAGTAGGACTTCACTGAAGACAAGGAAAGCAAACCTTTGGAAGGGCTACAGCTCTGCCCACAGGACGTGTGTCAGAGCTGACAGTAGCCTTTGCTCAGAGGAGCTTACCAGTGAAGCCAATGAGAATTTTGCCTGCCAAAAGAAGAGGCAAACAGGATGTCACTGCACACAGCATAGCAAGAACTCATAACATGAACTGGTGCTGTAAAATAAATGAGGAGAGAACCACAGTTGTAAAATAAAGGATGCTCTGAAAAGAGCTTTGTCATGTCTTTATACAGCAGGTGTCAGGAAATAGAACATTCAGCTGTGAAATTCACTGCGCAATGCATAGGCAACAAAAATACCCAATAAAATGTATGCGTGTCTGAAATTAGAACTGCTCTGTATCATTCACATCTAAAAGCTATGAAGTACTCTTGTGAAATAGGGTAGGTATTCTCTGCACTTGCACGGCTCACTTACTCCTGGTAGTAAAGGTCTCTTGTGCTTTGCTAGAATGTGCTCCAAAGGTGAGGGTTGGAAACTGGTGGCTCACATCAACCTGCTGGCGCAGAGGAGCAAGCTTTATTTCCCAGAGACACTTTCGAATTGACTAGGGCATTCATTAAGTTCAGGAAGCAAGTAGTGTGCCACAGGGATGCCAGTAAGGAAGAACAGCTTTAAGGAGCTACCAGAATATCACAGGAGCCTGATGCTTTCTGGGGTAATGCTCTGAATAAGTCACGTGGGTCTCTGGCCTTACCCACTTTAACCAGCATCTTGGGGGCTGTGATAGATGGCTGTAAGATCCCAAGAGGAACAGCTTACAAGGTCATGGCACTATTTTGTACTCTGTATACTGCATTGCCAACACCAACACCACTCTGTATTCTAATTTCTACCAGCAGAAGCCAAAGTAACCTGGGAATGAACCAGATTGTTATTTCTAAAATGCCATTCAGATTTCATGGCCAGAACCTCAGCTCAAGTTATTTGCAGATTGGCAGATAAAGCCAAGCCATCTCCAAACCATCTCAACTGCCCTGTTTTAGCTTTCTAGATGCCTTGGGGATGAACCTGAGGTCTTGGTATGACTTACGAAATCAACAAGCTGTAAACTGGAATAAGCAAAAGAAAAAAGAAAATAAAATGGAGAAAGATAAGGCACAATGGACAAGCCAGAAAAGGCGGTATGAAGGAAAAGCAAAAGGCTTGGTAGGAAGAGCTGTTGGTCATCCATTCTTAGAACTGCTCTAAATTTTCTTTCACCAGAGGCAGGAATCATACCACAAATATGCCTTTATGAGAATTACAGTCATGTGTATGTGACTTCAACAAAGAGCCTGAATAACGCAGGGAAGGAGGACCGGTAACACCAATATATTCCATCAGTAAAGTTACTGATGGAAGTTTTGTGTTTCAACAAAAAACAGTGACCGTCAGATTAAAAACACAAATGGTATCCCATGCAAAAGAAGTCAGCCTGGAGAAGCAAGGGTACTCCCATTGATCCCAGAATCAGGACTCGTACCTAAATACCCCAGAGCCAAAGGTAAATGCATATATAATCTAAGGAATATGAGAAGTAAGAATGAATAACATTATATACAAAAAAGCAACTGCATAGACAGATATTAACCATAGCAGGAAGCAACTCAGATGGCAAGGGATAAATATTCACCAGTCCTATCTGTAGGTATGTACACAGAGGTGGAAAGACCCTTCCCACTCCCATGAGGGAAAAACAAATCTAGACTGGCTCTTTATCTTGCTAGGTAAAGATAGGAGGCCATTTCCTCCCTTGTGCTAGCTTAGCAATCTGGACAAACCATGGCTAACCAGAACCAGGCCTTCAAACACAACAACCCCTTACTTGCTGCCAAGAAGCACAACTTGTAACCCACACAGCTCACAGACAGGAAGGAGCAAGAGGTCCTTTTATGTCCTATGTTCACAACTGGACAGGATGAGACAAACCTTTCTCTGTAGTAGTCTCAAACCCTTTTGCTCCCACAGGGCACTCTTAAAGGCCATGGCTTGGAAGAACGGTTTTGCCAGAATGCCACACATTGGATGTAGGGCACTGGGTCATGTAGTAAGGGATAAGCAAAAACATCTGAGGTTCAGGGGAAGCCATCTACTGAAATGTTTTGGAGCACAGAGCACGCTTGGCTCTTTGAAGTACATCTTTCAGCTAGAACTGGGAAAATATGGCCAGTAATTAACAGAATACTGAAAGTATCTATCTGAGATAACATGAAGTAACATAGGATGGAGGGACCACGTGAGTCTGACAACATAAAAGTGCAAAACTGGGTCAGTGCTAAATTTTTGTCAATGATCTTATGTTTGAACTTTTGGTATGCAAAAAGTATCTGTTGACAGAATATTAAAGATAAAAGCATCACTGCCTGGACTTCTTAAAATGGTGACATACAAGACGTGAGCAGAATGGTAAAGAAGCCCAAAGTGTAAAATAAATAGTTATGACAAACTAAAACAAATGAAGGGGTGGTTACATTATGTTGCAAAAAGGTGTCTTGTTCTGTATGTGTGCATGTAGCTCAAAGCAATCAGAAGACTGATGTTTAATAATTATTAGTAGTAGTGTTCCCCACAGAGCGTATGGGCTTCTTTCAGGATGCTTTTGTTGAAATGTTGCCAGTGATATAACTAGCCCTGCAAAATTTGAGTCAAAACCACAGATACAGATAGACAGAAACAGTACTGATCTGTTTGTTAACCACTGGACAAAAATCCCCATTTACTGAAATGTGGCTTTACTAAATGTCTGAAACTATTTAAGAAAGATTCCACTGTTGCGCGTGTTGGGATTTACTTGCTATCCTCATGGCGTAGGCCTCAGTTTCATTAACAAGTCATGCCTTTCATCAGCTGCCGAATTACACTCTTAAAAATTAAATCTTCATTAAGCTTCCATTTTCCATAAGACCAGTGCTCTGCTGAATGGGCATTTCGATTTGAACATTCTTTCTTCTGCCAGTACATCAGCCAAGGGGCAGAATCCAGAGGTGTCAGACAACTGAGCACCGCACAGCTGCTCGCTCGCTCGCTCCCCACCAGCGGCGATGGGGAGGAAAAGTGGAAGAATGTAAACCCCACGGGTTGAGATAAGAACAGTTTAAATGTCGAAAATACAGCAATAATAGAAATAATAACAGTAACAATATTAATAATAGGGACCAACATCTAAAATACAGCAATAATAGAAATATTAACAGTAACAATATTAATAATAGGGACCAACAAATAAGGAGAAACGAACACTGAGGAAACACAGGTGCTGCACAACACAACTGCTCACCACCTGCTGACCGATACCCAGCCCGACCCAGGCCGAGATCAGTCCCTTCTGGGTGACTCCCCCCAGTTTCTATACTGGGCATGATGTGCTGTGCTATGGAATACCCCTTTGGCCAGTTTGGGTCAGGTGTCCTGTCTCTGCTCCCTCCCGGCTTCTGGTGCCCCTCCTCACTGGCAGAGCATGAGACTGAAAAGTCCTTGATCAGGGTAAGCACTACTCAGCAACAACTAAAACACTGGTGTGTTATCAGCGTTGTTCTCAGACTAAAGCCAAAAGACAGCACTGCACTAACTACTAGGAAGAAAGCTAACTCTATCCCAGCTGAAAGCAGGACAAGAGGCAAAGAAAAGGGGAAAAAACGCCTCAAGAGTTTTTTATCTTGAACCTAAAATTTTACAGGTTCAGGTCTTAGTGATCTGCTAATGTTGAATGGCCACCTCCGACATACTTCTGTGCACTGACAGTGTGAGCATGTGCAACCACACAGGCAAGCTGGCTTGTCTGGTGAATGAAGAGGGTCTGAAGCTGACGTGGAAAATGCCAAGCTTGTAAATTCTGTGGCTATATCCAGCACTCTCAGCTATATAGCTTGATATCTAGGAGTACAAAGCTTTGCATTCAGTACTGCTTAATACTTGAATGTTGGCTGATGCAGGAATAACAGTATCTCTGCCATTCACTTTTGTACTGGAGACGCACTCATCCTTGCTGGGGTGGAAGGTAGTCCCTCAGGGAAAAAAAAAAAGTTGATGGAGAAAAGTAACTTCATGGAAAAGTTTCCAAGTTCATTGCCAGCAACTGCAATTCAAAAATTATTTGAGTAACTTGTCTTTTCACATAATTCCTTTAAAAAGTCTCTCCGGAGCCTACTATCATGCTGAGCTATAAATTGCATTGAAGTGGCTTAGTGAGGTATGACTGTTTAACATGCTGTTGCTAAACAAACAGATAGGGAATTGGTAGAAGGGCTGTTAGATCAGACAAGGCTTTCCCAAAGCCACACAGTAGGTGTACTGCAAAGGTGGATTTAGGGCTCAGGATCATGCCTGCAGTCTGGTGTTCCTGCTGCCTGATTGCACTGTCTCTCACAATGTGTGTACCATCCACAGCGGGGGTTGTGTCATATTATTGTTTGCAATCAAATCCAATCCAGCTCTCAGAGCTTGCTTGCATAGCTCATCCATTATAAATCGTATACCTGTCTAGCATTTGTCACTTTCTGCAGAGCTTGGAGCCTGATGGAATTTCAGGTGGTACAACAGTGCAGTGTCTGCATGTATAAAAGATAACATGCACTGCCTACCTCACAGGAATCTTTTTATGACTTACTGGCTAACAGCTGGGTAAAACTTTGACATATTTAAGCAAGAAGTGTCTACTTGCTTTCAGAATTGCATTCGAGGATTAAAAAGGCTTGTAAAAAAGTTGCAGAAAGTTCTTTCTGTGGTTAAAGAAGACAACAAAAAGTACATCGCTTTAAAGAGAGATAATTAACT